TGTGTGTGTGTCTGCCTATGTGTTATATGTGTATCTCTTTTCCTCTTGGGATCTAGAAAATCAATTGGAAAGGGCGTGCCTTTCTGGGCAGGAAATATTTGAGCCCAGCAGTTGTGCTTAGTAGGCAAGTTAAGGTCACAAGGCTGAGTGTGTGTCTTTTATCCAAGGACTCTAGGGTCTCGGGAGTGGGCTGGTAATGCAACCTCTCCTGGAGCAAAGGTAGGTAGAGAAGGAAGCCAAGTTAGGGCTGGTTGTGATGACCTGAGAGCTAAGCCGGGCAGAACAAAAGGGAGCTGGGAGGGGCCAGAGCGGGGCAGCTCCCAAGCAAGGCATGGTTTTTAAAACTACACACAACAAAGTTGTGCACCTCCATGCCCCGCACAATATTTTAATTTTTATGGTTTTTTTTTTGTGTGTGTGTGTGCCTTTTGTATGTGTTTGCACCCCATACATGCAAGAGCCCTTATTGGTCAAACTCGGGAACTAGACGTTCAGCTATAATCAAGTTCATTGTCCTAACCAGCTTAACCTAGCTCAGAAGGGGTAACGACAACAGGCTGCCACAAATGCTGACAAGGGTTTGAGGTTAAGAAGGACCTGCTGAGGCCTACGGTAGGGACAGGAGCTTCATTCTGCCCTCAGCACATCTGAAGCAGGGTGCCTGGGTCTCTGTCAACACCACTCTTTCCTCGTCTCTTCAGGGAAGAGCCTGGTCCTCCAGCAGTTGCTGTTGTTTTTTGTAGTGCTGATGGAGAATCCAGGGAGACACGCTAAGCAAGTACTCTTCCACTAAGCTATACCCCATCTCCCTTGGGCTGTGGGAAAGAGATGCTGAGAACCAGAATACTGAGAAGGGGAGCCCTCCAGCCCACTCCCTGGTAATCATTGTTCAGCTAACCTGCTCAGACGCACAGAGAGTGCCCATGTGCAAAACTCCTGTCACGTGATCATTTGACCCATCAGGAAGCCAAGGAATCACAGATTCTTCCCTTCAGAGTGCCAGGGGCTTGAGCCACTGTAGTATCCCTACCACAGGAGGGCTGCAGCTCCTCCCAAGACTTTTTTTTTTTTTTTTAAGTAGGGTAGACCTCAGACAGGAGCATCAATAGGAAGATAGATGTGGACTTTGACTTGGAACGGGTTGGAATCTTAAGCTTGTAGCAAGACAAGAGACATCCATACTTCTACCCTAGCCTCTTAATCTCTTGGGCAATAGGATCCAACATGACTTCACCCCTTGAACTAATTTCTTTGACAGTGTCTTTGCATGTCACTCCTGGTCTCTGGCACCCATTTTCACTGCTGTGAGAGTAATAACCAGACACCCTTCAGGAGTAGCTCTAAAGTGTAGGCTCCATCCCACCTCCTTTCCTAGTGGCTCTACCTGGGCTCCACCTACTCTAACCCCACCTCAGTGTGTCCACAGGACTTATCCAGACCTCTAGTTCACCTACCAATGAATACAGAGCAGTCTTCTAGTAGTCTGGCTGTACATTCCTCGTCCACTTTGCAGTTCTCCAGAGTTGGCATCATGTGTGCCCCGGGCTTCCTGCTCTGCTTCCTCCTCATACAACTGGCGGCACAGGTGGACTCCAGTGGTGAGCACCAAGACTCTGCCTGTATGATCTTAGAGCTACCTGACATCATCTACCCACTGGGGGATGGGGGGAAGGGAACAGCCTCTACTGGCTAACCTGGCTCCATTCCTGGACAGAGGCCAGGATGGAACTTTAAAGAACCACATAGTGGTTTTCAGCTCAGTCAGTCCCTGCCTCCTGTCTGCAGGTACCTGGTGCTACGACTCCCAAGACCCAAAATGTGGTGAGAACAGTTGTAACAGGCTATGTGGATCTGTCTGGTCTCTGTCAGCTCCTGTGCAGGCAGCAAGCATGCTGTGATTCTATGTGTCTGCTGTCAGGGTCTGTGAGCCTAAGGGTGTGGGTAGACCATGTGTGTGTTGGGATGGTCCCCAGCATGAGTATGCAGCCATGTCCCAGATCCTTCTACCTTGTCTCTCTATGGGCCAGTATGTTTGCAGATTTGGTAGCTAAGTCAGATGGGTGCTACTGCAGCCAGGTGTGTGGAGGGCAGAGGGAGGGCTTCTGGGTATATGGAATCCCTCCTCATTGTACTCCCAGACTGACTCCTAGACCCCTGCTACAGACTCCAGTCCTTGTTTCCTCAGGCCCTACTCACTGGAAGGAGCTAGCACCTGCCTGTGGGGGCCCAACCCAGTCCCCTATCAACATTGATCTTCGATTGGTCCGGCGGGACTACACTCTTAAGCCCTTCATCTTTCAAGGCTATGATTCAGCACCTCAAGATCCTTGGGTCCTGGAGAATGACGGCCATACAGGTCAGCATCATGAGGTTAAGACTGCTACACAGAAGTGGGACTCCATAGAGTTTACAGGAGTCTCACCCATACACAGGGATGAGGACTCACAGATGAGCTGAGACACCAGCTTCTCAAAAGAGCTCACTGCCCCCAACACAAGCACACAAACGGGCTAAGCTGCTGTAAGAATGGGATACACAGAGGAGTCCAAATTCCCGTGAACAAAGCAGAGGAAGCTCTCCACAGGAGGCAGGGAGGTGGCAGGAGACTCCTATAAATGAAACTAGCTATGACCCCTGAGGACAGTCAGTTCATGTCTAGATGCCAAGATTCTGGAAAGAAGTCAAGGTCTCCATAACAAAACTGCTAGCGACAGTGTTACTCCTACACTGGGGAGTCTGCTGGGGGGAATACTGTCATGTGCTCCCTGCCTTCAGTGCTACTGCGAGTAAATTCCTGTCAGCAGAACTGCCCAGCCATCCGAGGGGCTGGGCTCCCATCACCAGAATACCGACTACTGCAGCTGCACTTCCACTGGGGCAGCCCAGGGCACAAAGGCTCCGAGCACAGCCTGGATGAGAAGCATGGCTCTATGGAGGTGGGTTCAGGGTGGACCTGAAGGAAGACAGGCAGCGGGAGGAGAGAGCAGCTAGACACCACCTTTGGTCTGTATTTCCTAGATGCACATGGTCCACATGAACACAAAGTACCAGAGCATGGGGGATGCACGGAGCCAACCAGATGGGTTTGCTATACTGGCTGTGCTGTTGGTGGTGAGGAAGGGGCTGTGGCCTCATGCATGTTTCCAGAAAGAGGGACATGGAGTTGTGTGGAGGGACCAGGGATCTTCAGGTTTGGAAGGCTTAGGGAAGCGCTCATGCCCCACCCCCGACACAGGCACACAGCTAAGCAGCTGTAAGAATGGGATACACAGAGTCCAAATCCCCCTGAACAAAGCAGAGGCAGCTCTCCGCAGGAGGTAGGGAGGTAGCAGGAGACCCTTAAAAATGAAACTAGCCATGACCCCCCGAGGACAGTCAGTTCAGGTCTAGATGCCCAGGGAACTCCCCACCAAAGGAATGGAGTTGAATGGAATTGGTGGACTTCATGGCAAGTCATACTCCTCACCCCCAGGTCTCCCAGACTACACACACACACACACACACACACACACACACACACACACACACACGGGTGTGAAAGAGAGAGAAGAAAAAGAGAGAGAGAGAAACAGACAGAGACAGAGAGAAAGGGAGAGGGAGTGAGTGGAGAGGGAGTGAGGAAGAGAACATCAAAACGTCTCTTACTAAAACTTTTCCACAGGAGGAGGACAAGGACAATACCAATTTCTCTGCCATTGTGTCTGGGCTGAAAAATTTATCTTCACCTGGTAAGGAGCTGTGGGGTCCCATCTGGGCTGGAAGTTATGAGGGTGAGGGGCAAGAGCAGGAGAGGTGAATTCCAGTTTCTCTCCCACCATCCAGGGGTCTCTGTGAATCTGACGTCCACCTTTGCACTGGCCTCTCTGCTGCCAAGTGCTTTGGGGCTCTTGCGCTACTACCGATACTCTGGGTCTCTGACCACGCCAGGCTGCGAGCCAGCGGTGCTCTGGACTGTCTTTGAAAATACCGTACCCATTGGGCGTGCGCAGGTGGGAACCACTGCCCCTCCTCCATGGTCAGGCTCCTTCCCACAGTCTCAGTTGCTACCCCTGCCTTCTCCTCCTGCCCCATCACATCTTGACTCATCTTTGCCCACCCTCAGGTAGTCCAGTTCCAGGCCGTGCCCCAGAATGGGCCACCAGGTTTGCACCTCAGACCACTCACGGATAATTTCCGCCCCCAGCAGCCTCTTGGAGGGCGCAGGATATCAGCCTCTCCCGGAGCATCTATCCGATCGTCAGTCCCTGCCCTGCCCTGTGTGCACCTGGCTCTTTGGGGTTTGGGAGTTGGCTTGAGGCTCTGGCAGGGTCCCTAGGATCCAGTAAAGACTCCACAATAGTGCTTCCATAATAAATCACGCACAGTGACCTTGGTCTGATATGGTTGGGAAGGATTGTGTGCCTAGTGGTCAAAGAGATAGCGGGTAGAGAATCCTCCCTAACGTCACTGCAGCCTCAATGTTCCTGTCCACGGAACCGAGAGGCTCCTGAGTGACTGTCCTCTTGCCCACCATAGCCATAGAAACTTTGTCCAAAACTGAGACCCACTCAGATATCCACTGGCAACAACACGTTATTGAGTCTTCTGGCCAGGGGGAAGGGAGAAATTCGGTACACCTTAGAAATGCCACCTGTGTCAGAAATTGTAATTTATTATACAAACAATCTAGGTGATCAACAAAGGGAGTTACTGTGCCCAATTAAAATGATGACCTGGGTTGACATTCCAAGGCCAGTCTTTAAGAAAAAACAGGCTCCAACAGGAGGCACCGAGTTGGCTGGTTTTGTGAGAGACAGCAAGTGCTATGAAGCCAGGCCTGCAGAATTATTGCCCTGTGGAGTATTTTCTAAAGAGAAGCTGGTGCTGGGCTACTGGTGAGAGGCTAAGTAAGGACATGTGTCCTCCTTATCAGTGTCTGAGCCCAAGGGATGCTGATAACATGCCGCCACAGCAGAAGGGTGGTCCCCTTTACCAGTAGAGTGGTGGTGGCTAAGAAATTGATGTCCAGTTCCTGCCATGTAGAGGGGACATTGAAGTGGCACTGTCCTCAGCTACCGAGGTCCTAAAGTCCGTTACACAGTGCAGAGTTGACACTATTCTAGTGCTCTCTAGGACTTTAAAGAAAAAGGCAAGCATTTGCCTGCAGGCTGCAGATTTGGCTGGGCCTGCTGCTCCTCTTAGGCAGTGCCACTCTGGTCCAGATTCTTTCCTAGCTTCAAGGCCAAAAGGGGCTCTACAGCCCAGACTCAGTCCCAGGCGGCCATCAACTACACCGCAAAACCATCTACACAGCCTCTGCCGCCCACCGTCTAAATAATGGAACGTTAGCTGGCGGCATTTGGGGAGTCTGTAAAAGCACTGCCGATTTGCCCTCTTCTGGGGACACCGGAGCCTCTCAATCTCCGCCGCCTTGCGCAGCTGCTGGAGGCACTGGAGTTTTCTTGTGGTTCTTGCGGGCCACGGCTCGGTTCGCCAGGCCGTCCGCGGGGGCGTCCAGGCCGTTCTCCGCCACCCTGGAGGACGAAACCAACGCGTTCACCGTGCCGAGCGCCCGCAGCAGGGCGGGACCGCGGAGCTCGCGGCGGGCGGGCGGCGGCGGCGGCGGCGGTGGCGGCAGTAGGGCGCGCAGGGCGTCCAGCTCGCTCCGCAGCTCCGCACGCAGCGCCTCGAGCCCTGCACCCAGCTCGGCGCGCACGGCCGCCAGCCCCTCCTGTAGCCGCCGCTCGCTCACCTCCAGGACGCCCGCGGGGTAGGTGGCGCCGCCGCGCGGCTCCCCGCACACCGAGCACACCGAGCCGCCGCTGCGAGCGTCGCTCCTGTCGCCGGCCCCCGCTGCCCCGGCTCGCGCGCCCGCGCGCTCCACCACTCGCAGCAGTCGCGGCGCCTCGGTTCGTGCCGCCGCCTCGGCCCGCAGCTGGCCACGCAGGCGAGCCAGGCGGCCCGGGGCGCGGGCATCTTCGGGAACCGGCCCGTTGAGCTGCGAGCCCGGGTCCAGCCGGCGACCCACGCCTCGCCTAAGCGCCTCTCTAACGCCATACGCGCCGCGCAACTGAGTCCACGAGCGCCCGGGCTCTGCCGCCATGCGCTGCCGCCTGCACCTCTCTCTGGCAGCCCAGCGCCGAGGAGAGGGCCGGGGCCCCAGCCTGCAGCCTAGCGACAGCTGGGCCCGCGGGGACGCGCCCCTGGGACGTCTGTGGGAACGACCGGGCCTGGGAGAACCCCTGCAGGGCCAATTCCTGAGTGGCTGGGGCTCCAGGGAAGCCGCGGGTATGGGGGAGGGCTGTGCCAGTAGGCAGGGGTATTTGAAACTTGGCCGTAGGGACCCTGTTGTCGGCTGGGGCCCCCATATGGGACTTAGCTTGGCCTCTAGGCAGCGGCAATGGCACATGGCTCAATGGCTGCTAACGCCGAGACACTGTAAGGCCAGAATCAAAGCCCACCTCACATCCTTTCCTTGTCCTGGCCACAGCAACCCAAGCCACTCTAGCAGCTCTGTCTCTTGTGTCTCCCACGTAGCACACTCAGCCACAAGAATTCATCTTTCTCACTGGCGTATCCCAAGCTCTTCTACCCAACTTTCTCAGAGGCTTAGAGACTTGGGAGCCCCAGCTCATCTCCTACTGTCTCCTGCTCAGGTCCTGTTTCACCTCTTCTGACCGAGCACCCTAGCCACCCTCCTGGTCTTTACATCCATAGACTCCACGCCTCCCGTCTGCTGACAGTTTCTGCTTCTCCCACCGGGACACTGAGCCCTCCTTGCCCACCCAATCTCACAGGTACCCAGAGCCTCAACCACAGCTAACTTCACATTGTTTCTTAAACCGGGTCTCATGTGGCCAAAGCAGGTCTGTACTCTTTACGTAGCCAGGACTGGCTTTGAATTCCTGGGCCTCCTGGTCTGCCTCCTGGGTGCTGGGATTACAGGTGTGTGTCACCATGGCCAGTTAATGCAGTCAAACTGGAGATTAAACCCAGGAATTCATTCCTGCTGAGGAAGCACTCCATGAACTGAGGGTACATCCCCAACTGGCTTTGGTTTTTGTTTAGTTTGGGGGTGATTTTGTTTTTAGATTTTTTTTATTACTTTATGCAAATGAGTGTTTTGCCTGTATGTGTGTCATGTACCACAAGCATCCTTGGCCCTGAGCTGGTGGTGAGCCTCCATGTGAATGCTGGGACTCAAACCCAGGTCTTTCAAATGTCACTTTAACCATTGAGTCAATTCTCCAGTGCATTTCTGTTTAGTTTTGAGACAAGGCCTTGCTATGTTGCCCAGACAGGCCTTGAAACTTCTGTACTCAAATGGTCTCTCCTGCCTCAGCCTCACCAGTAGCCAGGACTACAGGCTCATACCATTGCATCTGGCTTACACTGATTTTCAGTGACTCTCTGCCCTTCCACAGTGAGGTGCCTGAACCCATGGCTGGCTCTTCTGTGTTGGGTCTGGCATGGGGATAGGTCCTTAGTGTTGCTGAATGTGCTGAATGTTTGATGACGGAATAAATATATGGATGCCCAGCTGAGCACCCCACTCCCCCTGCAGAGTCCTTTAAGGGCCCATGGCTACCTTAGCTGATCTTTCTTCTCCTGACTGTCTTTATCACCCTTTCACTTTCTGTGGAGCCTGGTTCTTTCCTGCCCCTGTCCATCTCGAGCTGTGTGTGTGCATGGTACAATGGGTTCTCTATCCCTCTTCCCACCGAGCATGCTCTCATTTCTCCTGGGACATTGTTAGCGCTCTGGGTGCTCAGTGCCCTGGGACCTCCGAAGAAAATTGTAAGGAGAGAGGGCTCTACAGGGATCCAGCAATGCTGGGAGGGGAGGCTGGATACATGCCCAAGTGTAGAGAGGCTAGCTTCTGCATCGCTGTAACTGCATGTGTGCATATGTGCAGGGGTAGGCGGGGTGCTGTCAGCTGTTTGTGGCAGCCTGGTGGGGGAACACCAGTTTTCCTTCTGGTTCATTCACTCTGGCTCATGTAGGTAAAGCCAGGGGATGATAATGTGACACTCAGCATCTTGGATGTCTCCTGTTCTTGGTGACTTACCTGTTCCCCTGGGACCTCCTGTATTGGCTCAGATGAATTCTACAGCTCATTAACCATGCCTCTCCCCAAACTCCTGCTGCTAACTACGAAGCCCTGAATCCCTGCCCCAGGCCTGTTTTCCAGGCTGTGTGGTGGAGTGGCTGAACCAAGTCTGCACCCAGGGAAGCCTGGCAAGCTGGGAGGCTGACAGAGGCTCCAAGCTTGCAGACAATATTAGAGGCAAAAGTACTGTACGCAGGGAAGTGGATAACTCAGTGTTTTTATACTTTACTCAGGATATTTATGAATATGTTGAGCTACAAACTAAGCCTCTACAGAGATGTCCATATTGTCCCTTGTTAAGACTACAGGTAAAAAGTCTGATGCTTGTGGCAGAGGATCCTGAGCCATGGGGTCGTGCAGGAAGGCTGGGAGAGTGAGGTGGGAGAAGACACAGGGGACCCTAGGGGTCCAGAGCAGGCATGAGAGCTGAACGGCAAGTGTGTGCGCACCTGTGTGTGCACATGTGCAACCATATACAGACACACATATACTCACACACCACCCCCAGCCTCTGAGAGAGGTCAAGAAGTGGGTGGGGGGGGCCTCTGGGCTATTGTGCTTGTCTCACAGGCACTGTGGGGTGGGGGCAGGGTGGTAAGGCTGTGGGAAGCCTGACTGGGTCTGGTGGATGGTGACAGGTCTGGAGGCAGAAGCTGTGGTGGGAGAGTACACAGCCCTCACTCAGATGGTTACTCAGAGAGATGTTGCCCTCAGAAAGGAGAAGATGCACTAAACCAGGGGCAGAGCTGGAGGACACAGGACAAGGGGCGAGGGCAGGCCCCCTTTTGGGAGCTTCTCAGAGCCAGCAGCCCCTTAACTCCCTGCAGAGAGAGGCTGACTAGACCAGGGCTGGGCCAGGCACTGTAGCACAGGGAGCCTGGCTGCAAGGTTGTCCCCATCTGGCCCCTGCTCTAGCCCTGTGCATCCAGGTGGGACCTCCTGAAAGGGCAGTCAGTGACCAAACCACTCATTAACTCATGAATGAGGCCAGTGAGGGTGGAACACCTGGAGCTCCAAGCAGGGATGGAGATGGGGCAACCTCCTCCTGTGACTTAAATGTCGTCACTACTGCCACTCTTGGTATTAAGCACTGGCAGTCTCCAAGATAGGATTTATTTCCCAGAGCCAGAGGGCATGTGGGAGCCAGGAGAGCACTCAGCCATGTTGGAGGGACTCTGGTGGCTTTAGAGGAGGATGGGGCACTAGCTTCACATCCCTAGTGGGAAGAGGGAGTCAGAGCACAAGTACCCCCAAACCCAGGTTTCGTGATCTGGAACT